ACAGAAAACCAAACTTTAAAAATAGAACACAATAAAATTAAAGAAATAAGATTGAAAGAGCAAAGGAATAAAAATTAAAATGAGGAACGCGCCTTTCTGTTTAATGCAAAGTTTAATGGTTTTTTAGAATCTCTTTAAAAAGTTATCTGTTTTTGTTCATTTACTTGAATTTATTTTTCCTATTTATGGTAACTTATGGCCCACGTTCTAATTCAAATGTCTTCCCATTCTTGGACTTAAAGGGACGATGTCGTAGATTAAAAGAATTTTCATTCTAACAGTACAACCATTATAGATAAAACCTACCTGCCAATTTGAAAAAAATCAACAGGGGAGCTTTCAAATACAAAAAATAAATGTTTCGAATTTTGGAAAATTTTGAATTTTTCTCTATTTTTATTGACAACATAAAACAATTTTTAAATTATAATATTTACTGCAGAGAAAAATGTATGATGTAAAAATGTAATTATTCATAATTTATTTCGATTATTTCTTCCAGTAACCGAAATATTTGAATTTATTTTTTCTTGTAGCAAAGTATGAAAAATTATCATTTAGTGTACAGCATTTTATTCAAATGTAATTTATTAGGATGAATATAGTTAAATAAATATATATAGAAATATTTTCTTTATGTATGAAAATAGAAATTTTAACGCTGCCATTAAATGATTAGCTAACATTTTAAAAGAGTAATGAAGCAAAATAAAACTCTTAAAAGTAGCTGAATCTACGAGAATGAATCATGATAACAATATTAGATTGTTCGAATAACTAATTATAATGGGTGAGCTTTCAGATTTCTGTTTGCATTTGTATCGTTCAAAGTTTTTGTTTACTTAACAGGAAATTTCGAATCATTAACCCTCGGACTGCATATCCCGCGGTTTCCGCGGGTTGGAAACAAGTCCATTTTCTGCTGCATCCTGCGATTTTCGCAAACTAATGGGTTTACTTAGTACTTTTAAAACATTGAATATTATTATACTAATAAAGCCCTACATGTAAATAACAATTCACTCAGTTCAACGGTATTTGAGCATATTTTCAAACGTTGCATCTAAATAGTAACTCACAAAAAATTATGCAGCCAGAGGGTTAATTGTTTTGGCACTTGCTTGTTTCTACTTATAGTGTGTTCCAACGTTTTTTAGTAGCAACTGCATCGTTATAATGGACACGCCTCTTAAATTCTTGAGGCTTGATTATTGGTTTATAGGAGTTTTTATACATAAATACAAATAATTTTTAGTCTATTTTTGATCATCTCTTCGCAGTTTTTTATTATAACTACCTATTTTTGATAAATCTGGTTATCCTTCTGTTGGGTTTTAACACCACTTCTTCCTCCATTTGAAAATGAACGCTTCTAAAATTTGTAATCTTTACAAAAGCTATCAATTTGCTGAAAAAAATCAGTTCAAATTGCTCAAAAGTTATTTGTCATCCTTATTGACAAGTAAAATATGCTTCAACAACACCAGACATGAAGAAAATATTTTCTTTAAACTAGCAACAACCTTCGAAATATTGCTATTTAAAAAATTTCATTAGATACATTCCGTGTAACTAGAAAACATACAAAATAACTAATAAGGAACAGATTTCCAGTTATTTTAGCATTATGTAAACACTGTTTCTACTGAATAATTGTTTTCGATGATATTCTGAGTACATCTCAAACTTTAGTTTAAATAAAATATGTATAAAAAATGAGTTGAATTTTAAAAAAAGAAAATCGTCTGCATTACAGGGTAGCTATCTTCATCAGCGCAAAAGATATCTTAAATAATTTTTGTTCAACAAACTATTGCAATACTACTGGTGTGTTTAAAACAATATAACATTTTGATTTTTCTCTAAGAAAGCTTCATTTGGATTTCTATCATTTTTATTTCCAAGGAAATAGTAATAAAAAAAACTTAAAACACGAAATTAAGTCTACAAAAGCCAGCAAGCATTACCTCACATGCAAAAATATGCGGAATGATGAAGAATACTTACTGCAGTTTGTTAAGTACCGTTACGCATTTAGTTTTGAAGGATTTTGCGGTCTTAAATAAGTAATGATATTAATATAATAGAACATATTTTCGTGTGGACAAATGCTTTTTTCTCATTCAACATTAAAATCCTGGAATTTTTTGGATAAAACCGAATGAATTTCTTTTTCTTCTTTTTCATATCTAGTATTTTCAAAGGTGTTTTTTCTTCTTCAATTATAGGTTGGTGTGGATCGAAAATGTAGTGCGGCGAAGACGTTATGAGGATCTAAAGTTTATTCTTCATTAGAAACCAAACTAGTAAATTGAAGTTGAATGTTTCTAGTTTATTTCACAGACAGATCCTTTCGAAAGCAATACGTTCAAACAGAATAAAAAATACGAGTATTTTTTAATGACGGCTCTGTAACACTCTGCAATATATTTTCGCCACAAAAATTTCATCACATTCTTATAACACATTTTTTTTCTGACAAATACAATAGCTTTTATCGCATTCTTGTTCCAGCTATTAATTCTTGCAATATTTTATGAAATATTCTGCCCATGAAAATAAAATCACATAACCTATTCTCAAATATAGAATGTTGAGATTGAGCAAGTGTTAAAATCGCCCTGTTTCTTATAGTGTGCTAGGTACCGTTACCATTATGTGTTTATTTTTGAATGATTTTGTGTTCACAATCAATGATACTCATCTAACAGGATGTAGCGTGTTTTTGTCGTATTTAACATTAGCGGTCTTTGCACTTTATTGATAAATACAATGGATTCTTATTTTCTTCATTTACGTGACTGATGGTTTCAACGTGGTTATTTTCTTTTAATCGATCTAGGTGGATGGAAAATGCACCTAGGCGGAGGCGAAATGTAAGTGTAAGAAATGGTGATACCTCGTTAGACCTCAAACTATTAGACTGAAATTGAATGACTAACCTGAATGTTTCTGATTTATTTAACTGTATTAAATTTGATTCAACCCTTCAAGAATTGTTCACCCAAACAGAATAAAAGATGCTATTTTTTTAAACAAAATTATGGTTCTGGAACTTTCTGCATTCTTTTTTCTTTACAAAATTATACAAAATTTTATAAAATCTCTCTTTTTTTGTAAAAACAATTTCTTTTAATATCTTCTTGTTTCATCTGTTTGTGCTTACAAAATTTTATGATATAATCTACTCATAAACATAAATCACATAACATATTCTCAAGCATAAAAATCCGAGATTAAGTAAGAGTTGAGATTGTTGAATCTTTCAAATGCATTATTAAAATAGAATATTTTATTTGATATATCAATCTGCAGTATGAATTTCATATCAGAACATTACATTACACAAATTTTTAGGAGGAAATGTATAATAGTTAAAGCATTTATTATAAAATAATTCATTCTTTTATTTTAAAGATAATTTCTCGAGGCAAAAGTTTGGGTGTCTTCTTGAAGTTACTATCTACTGTGTGTATCAAACTGAAAACTCTGTATTGTGGATGAACATACGATTCTTCCGAATGACTAATTTTTACTTTCACTTAGCATAGTGCAGGATCATTTCTCATGAGGTTACATTAAAGTGTCCGTTATATATGCTTAATTGTGACTGCGATGAAATTGGATTCAAGATTAATAAATGAAAAAAATAATGATTACGATTCATAAAATTAGAATGCATCTCATAAAAATATTTTGAAAGATACATAACTCTTCCAAATTCGTCATTCAGATATTTTGATAGTTAAGAGTATTGACGTAATTATGTGTACTAATTATCTAGAAAGTTTAAAGATGATACATCTCAAAATGGAATTTCAAAAAATGAGATATAATTTTTTACAACTATTACTTCTCTATTTTTTTTCTTAATATTAAAATTTTTTTATAGCTTTCATTTTTATTTTTTATTTATTTAAATTTTTGTAATCAATTATATTGTTTCAGAATAAATTATAAAAACCGCAAGTCTCTCCATGCTTATAAATATATTTATTTGTATATCAAAATTAACCAATAAAAAGTTTCTATGTGCAAATTTCAAATAATTAAAAAAATCCTTACCTGTAAGTATAGTGAATGCATATAGCATACATAAAGTAATCCTAACCTGAAAATTAAATGTAACCTTTAGGGTATTCAACCGCCAATGGCGATACCTGAGGCAAAGATGGGTTACACCATTTTGCATCTTACGAAAATCTCCCTTTCAGTGACGTCACCAATTCCTTTGGGATTTTGGTGGCCACTCAAATGTCTCGACATTGTTAAACGGTTAACCAATGCTGGAAAAAGTTTGCACATATATTGTGAAATGTATTCAGAATAGAAAACTGAGTAAATAATATTTCATGAAATTTAAAACGGAAATCACACATTCCAATGCTTCCAAAAACACTAGAAAAACTGCAAACAAGATCACAGTTTACATTTGGAATAATTGATATACCATCTCAATATCAATTGTGTTAATTTGACGTACCTTTAAGCTTCCTTTCATTGTATTATTTTTCTCATAATTTCGAGTAGAGAAGATTTTCAAAGAGAAGTTCAACATTTATTTTCATTTTTGATTTCATAAGTTTCTCAAAAATGAAAGGTACGTTTGCAGACAATTTACATGAGTGCCGAAACACATTTGATAAGAAAATAAAAAAAATAACTAATGATATTATTTCAAGGTTTTAATTATATAAACAACTAATAGCAGCAATGTTTTTGTTGAATATTTAAAATAACAGAAACATTGCTTCCCATTTCTCACGAAATAGTGCTATTAAATGATAAAGAGCTTAATATAATTTCTTTCGCGCTCTTATTTTTATTTCGACACACCAGCGATGGGGGCTTTAACGGACCTCACGAAGTTTAACGTCCAAAATCTCCGAAACCTAATAAATGTTTCCTTTAGACCTTGTTAAGATATTGAATTAACCCTGCATACTTATTGTACTTGGAAGGTAATTTTGTTAGACTGCAAGGAAAGAGTAAAAAACTATTTCCCCAGGTGAGGCTCGAACTCACAGCCTTGGTTTAACTCGCAGATGCTGTCGTATAGGTACCGCGCTTTAACCAGTTGGGCCACTGGGGACACAGAAACTGTCCATTCGAAACAAAAACAATTTTTGTTTCTAAGAATGCAACAAAACACTGTATTAAAGATCGTCAATTCATTTTAAACATGATTATCATATAAATTCTATTGAATAATACTTTTGCGCCCATATGGCACTCATTATTTTTAGTACTTTGGAATCACCAATTTATCCAATTTCGAGGATCTACTGGTATGAGTGCAATAGTATTTCTTTAAAAGTTAAATCAGAGTTTTCAATAAATTCTCTCTATGCTCTTTTGTAGGAATGAATATTTGTCATGATTGCTTATTAACATTATTCTTGCCTGATGTATACTGACAACTGTGTGTATATCACAGCAGACCGTACAGAAGCTGTAATTAATCCGATTGAAGTGAAATAAGGTTAAAATAAATAAAGTTTCAAATTATTTTTTAAAATTTATATGCAATATTAAGGCGAATTTACATTCAAAGACAATGTTTCTGGCTTGAATCTGTGTATACTTCTTATTTTGGTTTCGCTATGAAACAAGAAATAAGACATATTGGATGAGATTACGAGATAGTTTCCTGAATTTTATTCAAACTCGGATCGGCATTTATTCAGCTTCCAATTCTCCAGTCTAGAGACCTATAGGGAGAATGATTCATTCTAACATATTCTTTTACTGTGTAAGAAACTGTTTCAAAAAAGGCGGGAGTCTAATATAATCTTATGTTGGAAACTATTGACAAAATTTTCTTTTCAGTTGGCAGGAAGTTTAATTTTTTTTAAATCATGCAATTCATTTGATACCTTCTTCAGTGTTATCGTTGCTTGAGCGATTGTATAATAGTATATTAAGCACTGCTGGGCTGATACATTTAAATATTGAACAAAAGTACAAGGTCAAAAAAAGAAAAAGAAGAAAAGGTTTATGGAAGTTTTACAATCGATAGTTTTATTAAAAACGCTCATTTAGTAAAGAAAATGTTAAAATAAATAATTTAAAAATAATTTTTTAAAATTTGACAATTTCTAATACCAAAATTAAAATTAAATGGATACTTTTCTGAACATAATGCAGTTTCGAAAAATACTCATTTGATGTCTAAAGTGGAATACCTCCGATTTTCCTGATGGTCTGCTGTATCAATGAATAACAGTTTTTGCGTCAGCTTTGTGTAACCTGCAAAACAGCGTCTTAAATCTATATAATGAAGTTTAATTTATAGTTAATGCAAAGAAAAAGTTTTCTGTCGTGTGGGAATTGAAGTAAATTTAAATAAATTACGCTCATCGATATCATTTTATCATTATTTATTTTTAATGAATCAACAGCTGTTAAAAGTCATTTTTAAAAATGAAAAATAGTTACATTTGAAAAAGAAAATTTTTTGTACAAAATCATCTAACAAACCACTTATTACCTTTGTTTTAAATTGAAAAACGCTAAGTAAAAAAAATTCCAAAATTATCTGCACTTGCATGATAAATTTACTGTTTTGTCTGCCTGTTTGTTCATCTATTTATTTCAATCTATCTCCAGAACTAATAATTAAATTTTCGCAGAGTTACAAAATCAGAATTTCGGAAAGACTTCACCAAAGTGACAGGGAATTTGTTTCGCTTTGATAATTTGATGAAAAATTAAACTGAAAGTTATTTTACGGATATTGTAACATTAGTTTCAAACTCCATCTACTACTACTACTTCAAGAGCATAACCGTTTGCTAAAAAATACATACTATTGCATACAGTCAAACTTTTAATTGCTTTCTAAGAACTAATTTCGTAGTTTAACTGTTCATCTTGACGTAGGTAACAAACGCTTTTTTCCATTTTGATATGCTAATAAAGGCATTTTGATTGGCTTTTATTTTGAAGAAAACCATAAGCAGCATTGAAAATTTTTTAAATTCTACTTTCTTCCGGAGTCCATTGTAACCCATTAATCTTTGATTATAATATTTATTACTTCATATCTTATAATTACTTTCAAGTGATCCTTTATTTTTCGTAAACGGAATGTAATATTTTGCCTTAGTAGAATTTTCAGTAGCGGGGTTCAGATAACTAATACTTTTCTAATGAATTAGGCTATCCAATATAGCACTAATGTAATTTTACATTAAATTTCTTTGTAGTGTTATCTTTTTTTCCTTATAATTAAATCTCAGATGATAATTTTTTGAGAATAAACTGATTGCCATTCGGTACAGCTGGTGGAATTTCGGTGTGTTGCAAATCGAGCTTTAAAGGGCAAATATCTACTTGTGCTTATACTCCGCTTTACAGAAGATGTTGAAGTTACATTTTTTGAAAATTTATTCGTAAAAATTTCTTTTTAAAGACTAATGAAAACGATTTAGTGAGGCTACATTCACATGACAATAGTAACTGAGATAACTGAGACCTGAGTCTCAACTGCACGTTGTGTGACGCTTTTCACCCTAAAAGATTTAGTGAGCATGAATTGCTTCCATAGAGAAAATAACCGTTTAAATTATATAACAATATGTAGAAAAAGTCCTAAAAATATAATTACTTTGTTAATACAAATGATGTGATTTCGCGAAGTTTTGATATTTGCTTTCTTTAAGTGACTGCAGTTTTTCCATATACTAAAATTGTTGTCCGCATTAGATTTATCCTTATGTATTATTTAATCGGATTTATCTCATAGAAAATATAATATTTTTACATCTTAAACATATCACAGATTCAGAATGTCTTATTGTTGTTCTTTGCAGGTGACAAAAGACTGAAATGATTTTTTCCTTTACTTTGCTGAGATAAGAGACATTTTTCATGGCTGTTTACGGTGCTGATTTTGCTTTGTTATCTTACATTTATGAGCTCATAAACTGATTGAAGATGAAGGATAACTTCAATTTCTGGATGTAGGTATACTAAATTGTGAAATGAATGTAAAAATGTATGCTAATGAATAAAAATGTATACTAAATTGTGAAATGGCTGTTTTTGTAAAAAGAAAAAAAATCCAAAATGTGGGATCAACAAACTAAGAAAACAAAGGAATGAAAACATTGTATCAGAGTAAGCAATCGTCATTTAGAACAATGTATCGTACATTGTCCGATAAAACAAAAAAGGTCCAAACTGCAGTAGAAAATTAAAGAACTCACACAAATCTAAGGATAATAACGTGAGAAAGATTTTTTCTGTTTTTGTGTATTTAAAATAGAAATAGTTTCAACTTAAAATAGAAATAGTTTAATTTTAATTTACTAAGGAGAGTGTACAGGAGGAGAGTGTAAAAAAGATAACATTGGGAGAAATAAGTTTCTAACATGCTGACAACGGCGTGCACTAACGATGATTCACAATAAAGTAAAAACTGGCTTTTTCAAGCAAAATAAATGAATATTCAATTAATTAAATTTCAAATAAGTTACAGTTAAACTCCGAAAGGTTTCTCATGGCCAATAAAACGGGTAAGTGAATCTTCATTTGATGGAAGCCACTAATGATGCATTCAATTGGAATAGCCATCTACGTCGAAAGCAACCTGTGAATAAAATATTTTTTTCAAAATAATAACAGATTAGTTTTGTTTAAATAACTTACTTAAAAGAATGATATTTACCTACTTAATTTTTGAGTTGCATTTTTCTACCCGAGAAATTATTCGCGAATTAAAAGTTCTAATATATGGTAAAAATGACATACTTCATTGATGTACGATATCTGTGAGCACATTCATATTTTTTTGCTAATAATTTAAGTGAACGCTAATCCAAACAGCTTAGAAACTACGCAAAACTTTTCATAATTAGAACAATTACTTGCGGATGAAATCTTACAGAATACTCTAAAACGTAAGTAGCGTGCTACGTAATTTATCTACAACAAAAGTAATAAATGGAAAACGGTTTTCAAACTTTTCCACATCCTTTTTTATAAAAGTAATCCCTATCCTTTGTTATTATTATTTTTTATCATTTTCCATCAGTCAAAGAGCAATCAGCCTAATTCTCATAAGACTAGAAAATCGGGGAAATGAAATTGAAAACATAGATAGTTTTTCTTCATTTAAAACATCGAAGTCGTTGTTAAAAGTTCAGTGACAATCACATTTATTCCTACATAATCAACTCCAGTTTATTTTGACAACATTCCTTGTAAAATTACGATTGATTTACTGCAATCATCTTATGCAACAATTGGTTCTGTCAAATAAATAAATAAATAAAAATATTAATTTTAAATATGATTAGATTATTCTTCTCTTTCCTTCTTCATGTATGCTTCGAATTAAAAATAAAAACATTTTTTATACTTAAAAAGAAAAGCAGTTTTACTAATGTGTGTAGAAAAAACATTTGGTATTTCATTAATTTTAAAGAAATACCGTTTTCCGATTTGAAGAAACATTTGGTACTAAATCTTCATTTGCTTGGGTTGAGTTCATACAAGTCATATTGGCTTTGATCCCAGCATCTGAAAAAAGAGTTTCTTCAAAAAATATGTGATAGAGTGTACTGCATACTGAATTGCATAATAAAATACAAATACATAAACGATTATTTTATTAACTAGCTGAATTGAATGTGCTTGAGATTCAAGAGATTTTCAGATTAATAATGCAAATTGGTTCTTTTCAGACCTGAAAACTGCTATTTCATAAAAATAATTTAAATTTTCATGTTTATTAAAATATTTTGCTTTCGAGAAACCGGATTTCTCATCATTATGAACTTCATCCAAAATTAAATTAAGTGGGCTCATAATTTCTGGAAATGATGAAGTAGTTTTGCTTTCATAAAACTTACCAAAATTAGTATGTTTCACAGAATTGTTATCTTTGTTAGGTAAAACTCTCTCTACGATAAGCAATCAACCAGATTTGGAAGGACTATTTTTTATCATTTTGTTTCTTTGTCAATGCCTACGGTCTTTTATTTTTAAATTCGTAACTTAAATATTTCAAGTAATATTTTATTGGTTTTCTGGAGCATTTGATATTTACTGTTTTCAAGGAATATAAAAATATTGATATTTAATTTT